CCATGAGAGTAGAGACTGGGGTTTGTGGTTTTACCCTTAGTGTTTATATTAATACGTGGCCCATAATATGCACCTGGTACATGTTTGCCAAATGAATGAATGTGTAGATATATGCATAAATAGCACATAGGTAGAAGAAGAAGGGTCTTCAAAAAAGAGCTGATCTACTCTACAGAGAGCACTGGGGTCTCAGGCTCTGGGAGCAAATCCTGTGTGCACACTCCTGCTCCATCTTGCATCCTGGCCGCAGGGATTCCCAGTCTGCCACCAGCCAGCCTCTCCTCAGTGGTACCATGTGTTTTCCCCAGCTTAGCTGTTTCCTTCGAGTCTCTGGGTGTCCACATTTCTTGAAATATATCCTGCCTGTGGATTTGAATTCGGGTTTCAATTTTCATTCCCGGCTGAATAGGGAAGACGCCTGTGATGAATTACTTTACCCACTGAGGGACTTGGGGCTTTATTTCGGCTCTATCCTTGCATCCTTTATCTCCACTCATACCTCCCAGTGGCGCTTCTAGAGTCCTGTGGATAGTCCAAGACCCTCCAATGTGGGCCAGGTCTCATCCCAGTTCTTATTCCAGCTTGGGCCAACAGTCCCCTGGTCTGACTGTTTGCAAGTGGCTCACCTTAGCAGCATTCAGGAGAGGCCCCCCAGAGCCCTCTGATGTCCAAGTGGGCTGTGTGTTGGGAGCCCTTCCAGCCGGATGGGAATCAAGGCCATGCCACGGCTCTCAGGCACAGATGGTATCCAGGTGTGGTTTGCTCTGCTGGGCTCCATCTTGGAACTGCTAATGACTCTTCCAGCTGGGGTGGGTCTCCCCATGTGCATTCTGCTCTGTGCCTGTAGGACTGCTGACAATCTCAAGAGTGGCTGGTGGTGATGATTTAAGAACCTGATGCTTTTTCTAAAAATGGCCCTGAAATCCTTCCCTAAGAGGGAATCACAAATATTCTGTGCCACAAAGAAATGCAAGGAGCAGGACCACCCGAACCAAAGCGCTTTGCCAACGCAACGATTGGCAATTCCAAAGTTCGTTTTAGGAAATTTGAAGAAATATAGATGGTTGTTAAGAGTACTTTTAAGTATACTCAAATTTTTAATTTTGAAATCTTACCCTGCCGTTTACTCTGTGTTAATGTGAACAAGTCCTGAAATCAGGGTCTCACCAACACAGTCCTCAGAGCAGCGTTGGTGGCAGCAACGAGGAACTTACTGACTTGAAAATCTTGGGGTCTAGGCCAGACCAGCTGAGCCTGAGGCTCTGGAGGGGACCCAGTGAAGTAGGTTCTGACAAGCCGCCCAGAGGCACTCAAGTTTGAAAATCATGGACAAACTCCGATCTGGGTTTCTTCCTGTATCAAGTTGATTGAACTCGGGCCTCATCAGGTGGTTGTAAGAATTAGATTTGATAGATTTTGCATGTCAGGCATTTAGCACAGTGTCTGGCACTTTGTATGTGTTCGATATGTGACAGCAACAATTAACGTTCTTATTATTATTGGATTTCTCTTCCAGGTGACCCACAATTCAGTAGAGTTGTCGAGTCTACCTGTGAAATAACAAAGAAGGAATCATTCTAACAATAGCTAATTTATTGAGCTCCTCCCCTGAGCCAAGCACGTGGCTAAGGGCTTCGCAAACACTGTCTTTGATGCTTGTTAGAAGAAACCACTACGAGATGAGCGCACTCATCCTCCGCCTTGCACAGGTAAGAAAACATGTTTGGACAGTAAGTCACCTGCTCAGAGTAATGCAGGTGGTGAGCAGAAGTCAGAGTAACCTGCCCAGGGCCCAGGTTAGTGAGGACATCACTACAAAGCCACTCTAAGGTGCTTGGAACTGGTACCATGATAGTGGCTGTATTTGTAACCACAATATCATTTAACAAATCTCACTGAAGTATGGGGAATGTAGCCCCATACTAGGGCATTCAACCAGCAGGTGCAAGGCCTCAAGTTCAATCTCTAGGACGCAAGCGCGTGCACACACACGACCACAATGAAATAAAATTCTGACCACTACACACATATTAATGTATTAACCACTAATTGATTACAGAAGAAGTTTCTAGACCATGGGTTTGCTTGAAGTTATTGTTTTTATTATTTTTTTAAGAGAAACAAAGAGGAACCTGTGGTTGTCCTCCTTAAAGTCTTCCATGACTGTTCTTTTCTGGTAAGTCTCCTGGGTTGTACAGCCAGGAAGGGGAATGACTTTGGAGGCCAGAGCTAAGGACAGCCCAGCCTGTGGAATCAGTTTCTGTCGGGCTGCAGTTTGGAGCACTGACCACTTGAGCCCAAAGATCTGTCCAGAGAGTTAACTTTGAAAAAAAGTTCTCTTTACCCATGAAAGGTCAATGTTCAGGTGCAGATTAAAAGGAGGAAATGTGTAAATGTGACCCATAATTACTGTTTAGCATGTGTTAGCAGTTGTACATACTAAAATGGGTTTCTTGGCCCATGCTGAATGCCAAATGTATGCCATTTTTTCATACCACACAGACACACACACACAGACACAGACACACACACACACACACACACACACACACAAAATCTGGCACATAAAATATCAATGACATTCTATAAAATAATTTTGAAAAATGGGTAAAATCACATGTATATCAAAGGAATTTCAGAGCGAGCTGCTGATTTGTAAAATGAATCTATTTAAAAACCCTTCAAAATCATGTTGCAGAGTAAACTATATAAAATATATGTTTATTCAATGCAAAGTGCTCATTTTATCCAAGAAAATGTTGAAGGGCACAAATAGGCCAGGAACAAAACCCTGGAGATTTTTCTCATTTAAGAGAAGCCAGTAACTTTGTCTTTCATTGGAGAGTTTCTGCCTAAATCTCAGAAGCAGGACCTCAGAGACACGACCAGATGCTGGGTTTATTGGAGAACGTCCCCAATTCCTAAAACGACAGTATGGACAATAGCCCCCCTAGGCCAACGGTAGTTCTGGCTGCTGCCTTGTATTTGATTCCATTTTCCCCTCTTAGCTCCTCCCCAGCTCGCTCTTGAAAGGCCTTCTGTTCTGTCAGCCATGATGACATCTGCTGGCGGACACAGGAAGTCATAAATCTGTGGGTCCCCTCTCAACCAAACCTTGTTAATGCTGCCATTTATCACGGGGGCTGGGGTGCCGTCTCTGGAGGGCTGGACGCAGCGTCCATTCCTCCCATACCCCTCTCCCAAGAGAGCAGCCGTGTTCCAAGCAGCCAGTTTCTCATCTTCCCTTCGCAGAACTGAAAGTCAGGCAGATGCAAACCCATCGCCAGAGCAGGCTCTTGGAAAGAAGCCACGACTCCAGGCAACAATAGCCTCCACTGGATGCTCGGGGGCTGGAGCGCGGCGGCAGTTCTCACCCAGCTCTGCCCCCTCCTCATTTTCAGCAGGCCCCTGCCTGCTGCTAAGAGAAGGGTGGACATTTGTCCCCCACCGGACCCCGCTGTCTCAGCCGTGCTTTAAGGGCAAGCTTGCAGTAGGGTGAGTTGAAAGAGGATCATTCGCACTCAGAGTTTCTTTTCTTCTGAACTCATGCAGAAGATGTCCAGGTTGCATTTACCAGAAGTTCGTGATGTCCTAAGACCTCCATGTCACTTTTGCTACTCAAAGCGGGGTCCCTCGGTCAGCCCCACCAGCATCCCTAGTCAGAGCTTGTTGGAAACGCTGCCACTCAGATGTGCTGGAGTTTTACAGAATCGGAAGCACATTTTAAACCAGCCCCCAGGTGATACCTGCACAAGCCCAAGTTTGTGCACTGTGCTCCACACCAGGCTCCTCTCCTTGGTGCCCTTGACACTTGGGGCCAGATCCTTTCTAGTCTGCAGAGGTCTTCCCCAGGCAGGGTAGACATTCAGCAGTATCCCTGGCCTCTACCCATTGGATGCCATCGGTACCCCTGAGTTGTGATAACCCCAAAGATCTCCAGGCATTGTCACATGTCCCCCAGGGGAGGGGGAAATTCACCTGTGTTGAGACCTTGGAAACTCGAAGTGTGTTCTGTGGACAGCTTCAATGTCACCTGGGACTTTGTTTCAAAACACATATTCTCAGACCCCACCCAGACTGGCAAAACCAGGAGCTTCAGCAGGGCCCAGAAATCTGTTTAAACTCTCTGGGAGACACAGGCACTCTGAGGTCTAAAGCCATGCAGTGAATCAGTATTTGGTGATGTAGAAGTCATAGGGGGACACAGCATCACCAAGAGGCTGCAGGACATGGGGGTTAAGAGCACAAAGCTGGAGACACGCAGGGAGAGTTTGCAGCCACCCTTCCCCCTGTGCTATCTCCATAACCTTGACTACGTTACCTGACCTTTCTGTGCCTCAGTTTCCTCATGTGTAAAATGGGGACAACAAAAGCACTATTCCTTATCAAACTGTTTAGGAATGAATAAGCTCTTATGTTAAAGTGCTTAAAACAGTGCTTGGCACCAAGGCTTCGTACATGTCCCCAACTAGTATTATCTTCACATCACTTGCCTGTCTTGCCCAAGCTTCCTGGATCACTTTCTAAAAATAGGTGTCCTTGCAAATGTAGGCAACTGGGGGAAAGTGAGCTTCTCCCTCCGTGTGGATTAGATGGAACTTCAGGTAGATCTGCAGGCACTTGGTAAACAGCAGTCGATCAACACAAGCTTAGAAAGTAATCAAAAGGCTAATGATGGGGGCAGGGTGCTTTGCAGATGCCAGGAGTTTTCTCCTTTATTCCTAGGATTCTGTCTACACCCCTCCTGAAGTCAGTCTTATAACTATTCCCACTTCAAATTGCAAAAACTGAGGCCCAGAGAGATTACAGAACATGCCCAAGGTCATTGTCTTAGTAAGCAGTGAAAGTCTTCTCTACATGTTGATCTTTCTGATTCCAAACCCACACCCATCTTTCTTCCCAAGTGCGTTCCTGGTCTGCATACAGAGATCATATTCTTAAGATTGAGAGGACGATCCTGATTTCAAATATTCTGCCTCACCTTGTACTTAAGACACTCATCAGCATCAAAACACATGTTTTATTTTGTTTAAAAATTCGAGCTATGGTAATCACAAGACCTCTGCTTCACAGCCCCACTAGAGAGCCACCTGGGAAGAAGGTGAAGGGATCCCCAAGTGACCATACAAGTGGGGAGAGAGAGGACAAAATTCAGGAATGCAAAAGACTTAGAAGCAAGAACTAAATACATTAGAACAGACAGGACTAGCAGAGAGAGCGCAGCTGAGAGAGACCTGGAGCCCGGTTTGGGTGAGCTCCGCATTCCACGGGTATTTACTCTGCTCTGCTGTGTGCCTGGCACAATGGACACTGCGTTAAAGAGTCTCTGCCCTTGGCCTGCTGAAGATCACAGTCTGGGGATTCAAATCTGGAAGACATTGCCCAGCACTATACCATTTCTTCACCCCCCCCCAGCTGACCACCAGCCCCCAGCACCATGGGGGGCAGGAGCAGGCGGATCACACCCCAGCTCTCTCACCCTGTAGGAGGGCATCTCCAAGGAACATGTCTACATGGACCCCAGAACTGCCCAGCAGGACTGTGCTCAGCTGCTCAGTGACAACCACTGGCTAGTACACCCTGTCTTCCAGGTCCTGTTCACTTCCTGTTCTCCAGCTGGAGTTTTATAATAAAAATAAAAAAATCCCCCTTTAATCTCAGGGAAGCAAGAGCAAGACAGAAGACTTCTAGAAAGGTTCGCAGCAATCCCAGGCTACCCGACCATTTGAAGCCTGTGGGTTCTCCTTAGCTGCGTTGACTGTCCTGCAAGGTTTAGGAGAAAAGACAAGCTGTATTGTTGGGTAAAAACAGCATTCAGGACAAGTCACTTTGACATAATCCTAGCAAGCAGGGGTGGAATCTCATAAAATTTTAAGGACAATAGGATGCTTAATGCCTAATCATAACAGATAAGACATGCTCCGGATAAGACAGAAAGGTGTTCTCAGAGCGAATTATATCATTCTGTATTTGCTTCTGAAAGTTGAGGGCACCTTTGGGCACACAGTTCTAATGAGTCCAGGAAGATGAGGTTGATACACAGTTGAGTTGGCATAAAATATACCAGAGCCTGGGACTTAAAGGCTGCTGTCACGTGGTTCCCAGGCTGTTCCGGTCCTTACCTTCACTTAATGTCTTCCTGTGGTTAATGAAGTTCAGCAATGGATTACTGGGCCAAAGACTTGTTCTGGATTCCTCAGCAGTAGCAAAACACTGTCACCAGCTGTAGGCAGCCAACTCTAGGGGAGAAACCAGATAGATGTTAATGCTCACCCCTCCATACCCCCAACCTGCCCACTCAGCAACCATCCTGTCTAAAATATACATAATGCTTAATTGCTGTTGAAGAATTCTACATTTAGCCAAATCACACGAATTTTTAAAAATGAGCCCAATAATTTTTAGAGGATGCATTCTCAGAAACAAGCTTTCCAATGCCCGAGTGCCCACACACATTACTGGCACCAACCTCACCTCCTATTAGAATGCACACATTCACCAAGATAACGCTGCCCTTCTTGGTTGAGCAAACCTCTCCAATGGACCAGGTGTTTTGGGATGCACGTGAATAAATTAGCACTTACCAACAACTTGGAAGAATAAAATCCAAACTCTAAGATATGATGAGGGAGCTGCTCTGGGATGGAGACTACCCACCTCTCCCGCATCATCTCTGTTTTCCGTTGCCTGGCTGGACCTCCAACTGAGCCCTAAAGGATGTGTCCTTTTTACTCTGAAGCCCTGCCATGGCTTCCATTTCCAGGCCCTGATTCCTGGTTAACTGCAGCCAGATCTCAGTTTAAATGTTACCTCCTCAGATTGCTTCCCTACCCTAACCCCAGAGTGGACCCCGGCTCCACTCCTTACTCTCTACCCAACCACCCCACATTATTTTCTTCCTGTCACTCTCTGTGACCCAGGACTGCCCCTGTCTGACTCCAACAACAACATGTTGTACCAGGTGTCATCAGAGGGTAGCAATGACCAGAGACTGCTAACTTGAAGTTTTCACCAAATAGTTAATGGGACAAGGGATATCCTGAACAAGTCAAATGACATAAGAGGAAGTCAATGAATTACATTCTCAAGGGCAAAATCCTATGGTACACTGGCTCTCAAATTTAGCTGCACACTGGAACCACCTGGGAGCTTTAAAAAGGACTGACGGCCGGACCACCCACTGGCCCTGGGCTGATGGAATGGCTCTGGGGTAAGATGGGACACTGGGGTTTTTAAATTACCAGTTGATTCTAATATAAAGCAAAGTTTGAGAGCATTACTTTTTTTTTTTTTAACATGAAGCACTGTGTGCCTAGAGATGCAGAAGTACACAAATCTGCAGCGTATGGCTGATTGATGTCCCTGGATTGAATGCACTGCAGTGACCAGCACCCTTCTAGGAAAACACCACCAGCCAGTAAATGTCCTCATTGCATCTTCCTGGAGTCTGGGTAGCACAGGCAAACAAGGACAGCGACATACACCACACTGCAATACCACGTGGGCTAGGCAGGGGCTCCTAGGTTTCAAGAGGGGGCACTGAGGAGACCTTTCCACCCACCCCTGTGAGAAAATCCAAGATCAGATGCCCTTTTCTGTTCCTTGTATGCAAAAAAAAAAAAAAAAAAAAAAAGAAGAAAAGAAAAAGAAAGAAAAAAACCTGTCCAAACTTCTCTTGTTACACAATTCTATTTTGTACAGGAAAGTTTCCCATGCCTGGCACCTTATCCGAACCGCCTGGGAACTTTAAAATTTTCAGAGCTTCTGGCCCCACCCTGGGATCTAATTTAGTAAGTCTGGGGTGGAGCCTGGGCTTTTTTATCTTAAAAAAAAATAATGATAAAAATTCCCAGGTGATTTCGATGCTCAGCCCGTATGGGAACGACCCTTTCAGGAGGCTGGCTGAACCCTGCCAATCCGTTCATGCCCTTACACATCCCGAAGTCGGAGCACAAGATCCTAGGAAGCTGAATTCCCTGGGACTTCGACACAGCTTTACTACAAGACACCAGCTCTTAGAAGAAGTGTCCCGGAGTGCCAGGGCCTGTGGTTTAGCACAGCGCTATGCCAACCTACACATACCTGGACTACCTTTCTCCATCCTGCCTTCTTCACACCCACCTTGACCATATGTGCTCTTTCTTGTTCCTTAATATATTTGATTTTTCAGACTCCACTAAATGGTTTAAAATCCCGAGATTGCTACCAAAAATGAAAAGCCATATCCTTCACTAAAATAGAAGGTAATACTAAAGTGAGTTCAGTGAGAACCATTTTGTGAAAATCTGGCTAGAGATACTTGCCACATCCCAACCGTCTGAGCCTGAGATCTGCAGTCTGGGTAGAAGAACAGGAGTCAGCAAACGTTAGGTGCTAGGGTCGGGGTGGGGGGGTGGGGGGGTGGAACACCCACACTAAATGGAAACTGTCTCAAATTGAAAGGTGTCAGGAAGGGAATAACTTTCTCACTGTGTGAATCAGTGTTATTTAATGTCATGTCTACACCACTCCAAAACATCCGGTCACCATTGTGTTACACATTTCACTGGTGTAGTCAAAAACTTCTTTGTTGATAACTAACTGCTAAATTTTCTGCATTTATATCAATGGGGAAAATTAAAAATTAATAAAAGAACACTCCAGCAACAAGTTGGTAGCCAGCCAGAGGTTGGTATTACCTCCCATTACATACCCAGACATTGAGGACCAGGAGGGAGTGCAGTTGAGATTCTGAAAAGGATGCTGGAGAGAATCGGGGAGAGATTCTGCAGCCCATGTCACCTGGTCCTATCTCTCCCTCCTGATTCTCCCCAAGATTGTACTCTGTTGCCCAATTCCCTCTTTTCTTGGCCTGGGTGTTCTGGATTGTTACCAGAGAAGCTTTTTGGAAGAGAGGGTCCTGCCTTGTATATTCAGCTCTACAGGAGCTTGGGGCAAAGCCTGGTAGACCCATCACACAGTGTGAGCAGCCGACCTACAGGCCTGGGGCTTGTAGAAAGGAGGACAAGATCCTGTGAGCGTCCATGCAGCCTCTGCCCTCTTTCTGTTCAGGCCTGAAGTCCACTGAATCTCGAGGTTCTAAACCTGGCTCCTCATCTGTGACACTTGAGATTTTACTCAATAGCCCTACACTCTGTACAATTGCACTGGGCGATTCGAATGGTGTGCTTCAGCTGATGTTGCCAACGATGAATAGGGCTTACTCTGCCTGGGCTGGAGTGGGTGGGCTTGGTCATGTGGGAGGCCATGACGGAGGTGATTAGGGCCAGTGACTTAACAACTTGGACGACACTAGTGAGGTGGACAAGTACGTGGGGATGTTAACAATGATGAGACAGACTTTGCAAACAGAGACGACAACACATTGTGGCTAACAAGTAGCATGGGAAAGTCAAGTTTCCTATAGCCCAGAGGAAGTGTTAAGATAGATAGTGGTGGAATTAGTCATGCTTGATAATTGCACATGAGAGGGCTAAGGGGGCAGGTGGGTGGGTTGTAGGTGGGAGGCATCCCAGGCTCCATGGTCAGGCTTCACTTGGGGTGGGTCCATGGGGAGGAAAAAGGAACAGGTTTGGGTGAAATTCCATCACAATAGTCACAAAGACAATGTCATCTCTTGGGGCCCTAAATTATATTAATATGTAAGCATGACTTGGTTTTATAGTTAGCAATATCAGATTTGCCTGATTTTTTTTTAAAAAAGGGGGTTTTTTGGCAGAAATTCTCATACTGCAGTGCACAGGGGAGTCATTTATGGGGCTGGGGTTGATCATTCAAAATGTAGATTTCTAAGCTGTCATCTGGAATTTTCTGATTTTGAAGGTCCGAAATAGTAGTGCTCAATCAGGGGCAATTTTGCTCCCAGGGGACATTGAACAATCTGAAGTCAATTTTTTCTTTCTTTCTTTTTTTTTTTGGTGGCAAATGGGGTAGAAGGGTCTGTCCTCTGGTGGGTAGTGGCCAGGGATGCTGGTAACATTTTGCCTTGTGCCCCTTCCAATACAGAAAGATCTGGCCCCAAATGTCAAGTCTACCATAGTGAGAAAACCTTATTCCAGGGTAAGGCCCAGGAATGTGCATCTTCATGAGGGCCTAGAGGTAGGGATCTTAGTGCAGGAAGCAGAAGCATTTGGACTTTGCCTGTCTTTCGAAGAGAGGGCCTCTGTATGAGTTCCCTTTCTGTTAATTCCTCATGTTTAGAACTCAGCTTGGACTTGCCTCGCCCGGCTCTCCTGCTCACCATCCTTCCTCTCTACAGGTTCCCCACCAGTTCCAAGACACCCCCACCACCTGCATCCCTCACCTCTGACTTGTTTGCTCTCCCACTAGATGGAGAGTTCCCTGAGGGCAGGGTTCAGATCATCCTGCTTACAGATGGGTCCACAGCACCTTGAGCAGTGCCTGGCCTGCAGAGGCACTCAAAGATCACACACTGACTTCAGTCTGGCTCAGCTGGAGTGATGTCTCCAGCATGGACTCTGGAGTCACCTCCCCCATCGCGGCCTATCATAGTGCCAGGTTTTTAACATCTTCCTGGGGCTCATTGACCTGAAACTACAGTGTATATGTGCTTATTTTCATCCAGCCCACAAAATTTGGGGGGGAAGGGTTCCCTAACAAAATGCCTTGGGCTTTGCCATCACTGGGGAAATAATAGAACAAAAGGCAAAAATCTGTCTTCTCAACAGAGCTTATATTCTAGAGAGGGTCTCGGACAATTAGCCAAAGAGAAAACTGTACATAACATGTGCCACACTGATAAGCCCCCCCCCCAAAAAAAAGGAGAAATGGGATGAGGAGTATGTTGGGGTGGGGGGATTGTAAGATGGACTTTTAGGAGAAGGTGGCATGTAAGCAAAGAGGAGATATCAGGGGGCTACTTGTCTGCTCTCTCCCAGTATAATATAAACACCAATAGGGCTAGGACTTTCCCTTTCTCTATGGCTGTTGTGTCTCCACAATAGGTACATAGTAAGCGCTCAATAAACACTGTTCAAAGGAACAAAAAGACACTATGAGATTTGTCTATCAAAAGGCCAAAGGAGGTTTTCTTTCTTTTTTTCTTTTAAATGACCATCCATTGATAAGCAAGAAGGTGGGAGGGACAGAGTCACTAAAGGGGGCTGGCAGGACATTTTAGGGAGCCAGGTTAAGGCTTAGAGAATGGAGGTCATCTTTGGATAAGGTCCCCTACTCTGCTCTAAGCAAAAGATATTGTTGCTGATCCCCGCTGGTCAGGCCCTCTGGCCCTCTGTGCGCTTCTCCCCAGCTTCCAAGTTTAACCACCAGCCTGTTCCCTTTCCTCCTTATCCCCTCCTCCCCACCTGCACCCCCCCTCCCCACCCCCACTCCCCATTTTCCACTACCCCCTCACTTCCCCACCCCCTCCCCTTCCCCCTCCGGGAGGGGTGTCCCGCGGGCGCCGGGTGGGCACGCCCTCTCCCACGCGATGAGTGTGCTGCCAGAGCAGGGGCTTGGCAGGCCGGGGTCTCCTGCCTCCAGCCCCTCTCCCCGGCGGGACGCTGTCCCTTTAATAGACTCCCTCTGCCTGGCGCTCTGCGGCTGGGGAGTAAATTTCTCCCTGTCATCAGGTCGCGGGGAGAGGAGGAGGAGGAGGAGTTTGTTAATGTTCAGTTTGTTCAGCGGGATCGATGTTTGCTGGCATCGCCTCGCCCTGTCTTGTGTGTGTGAGAGAGTGCGTGCGTGTTTGTGTGTGTGTGTGTGTGTGTGTGTGCGCGCATATGTGGGGGGTGTGAGTGTGTGTGGGAGAGGAAGCGAGAGTGCGTGCGTGTGTCTGTGTGCGTGTGTGTGTGTGTGTGTGTGTGTGTGTGTGTGTGTGAGTGAATTCCAGATTTTCTGTCTTTCCCAAACCCGCGCCTGTCCTCTCGCATATCACTCACAGACGGGGATCTGACAGCAGCCACAGACCTACCGTGAGTGATCTCTCCCCCTGCGCGAGTCCGCCATCGAGATCGGGGAGGAGGAGGAGGAGGAGGAAGAGGAGAGGAGGTGGAGGAGGAGGTGGAGGAGGAGGAGGAGGTGGAGGAGGAGGAGGAGGGAAAGAGGAGAAGGAAGAAGAAGAAGAAAAAGAAGAAGAAGAAGAAACCTACTACCTTCCCAGGATTGGGGTTTTTCCCCTTATCTTTACGCGCGCGTGTGCGTGTGGCGCGTGTGCGCCCCCCGTCCCTTCCATCTGAACCCGGTCTTGGATGTTTAATAAAGAAATCAAGTGTCTCACCAGTCACAAAAAAAAAAAAAAAAAAAAGCGCAAAAACAAAAAAAAAAAATTCCAAAAGCAAAAAAACAAAAAGAGAGAGGAGAGAGAGAGAGGAAAAAAAACAAAACAAAACAAACAAACAAGGCAGAGCCAACCTCCACTTCAAACCAGCCGGCACAAGCCACCGTGTCTGCCACCCAGAGAGGGGGGTCTCTGGCCCGTGGTGGAGGAGTTACTGGGGGGATCGTCAGGGGGACAGAGGCCGAGTGACGTCCTAGGAGCCACCGGGCAAGAGGCGGAGGAGACCCAGAGAGGCGAGAGAGACAGCGGGCCCCCGCGCGCGGCTCGGGGCTGGGGCGCCAGAAGTGGGACTGGAGCGAAGTAGAGCGATATGCCAAGGAGGAAACAGCAGGCACCCCGGCGGGCGGCAGGTAAGAGAACAGCTCCGCTCGGGGCTGGCCCGGCGGCCTCGTGCCCAGCTCCTCGCCAGCCCTCCTGGCCCCGGGGCGCCCGGGGCGCCACCCGTGCAGCTTTCGGGGGGGACTTTGCTCCGGGTGCCCCGTTAACGACCCCATCCTCTCTCGCTTTCTCCGATCGCCCCAGTCCTCCCGCTTCCAGGCTCCCGGTTGGGTAGGGGGGAGCTATCCTACCAAGCCTTCCCTCCTTAAACTTTTTCCTCCATCCTCTACCCCACCCCTAACTTTTCTCCCAGTCTGTTTCTTGCCTCTGGAGCCAAAGTTGGATTGAGGATTTGGGGGTGCAGAGTAGGGAGACGGCCCCTCCACCCCCGCATCCCTCCGCGTGGTCAGTGCCAGCGGCTTCTGGCCTCCAGGGACAGTGTCTCCTCTCGCTGGGGCTTGGGGCACTGAAATGTGAGGCATGCCCAAGCCCGGGTTGCAAATTAGCTTTGGGGCAAGTCACTGGAGTTCAGCCTTGATCACCAAGGTGGGAAAGCACCCCAGGAAATGGACGAACCTTTGAATGTGGTTTCTAAAAGGATCCACCTTTAGAAATCTAATCAAACCTCTCCGTTCTCTTAATAAAGGGGGGGGGTTGTCACCATAGAAATTTAAGCAGCTCAGGATTTTCTTCGCTCAGAGTTGCAAACTTTGTGAATTGATTTGTGTGATAGGAACTATCCCATCTGCATCTTTATTTATCAATTGATCCCCCACCCCACCACCACCACCACCCAAATAGAGACAGGTTCATGGATCAGTACCGGTAGATCTTCCAAGAGATTTCCTTTTTTTTTTTCCCCCTTCCTTTTGGGTTGCTTAATTGCTTTTTTAATCGTATGCTGGGGTTTTGTTTCTCGGAAGTGTAATATGAAAGTTCATTTTCTTCTGCCAGACCCACCCACTGAAAAATCAGCTTTCCACTTGATTGCTAGTTTTGATTTGACATTTGATTGATCACCTGTCATCTCACTGGCTTTGATCTATTCATTCTTGATATATATCAATAAATCACTCACCATGGTAACTCAGAGTGCCAGTGACGCAAGCCTTGCCCTCTATATTCAGAGCCAGACATGCACAATTATTATCTTGTTTGGCTTTTCATGTGGGCGTTTTATTTCTTTGTGTCCTTTAGTTGAATCAGGACTTTAGCAAAAAGTTTGTGTTGTTGGTTTTTTTTTTCTTCTTTTTCTTTCCTCTCTCTCTGTCTTTGCCCTTTGCTTTAGGCAGTAGTTGTTAAGGCTGGCCTTCTGTAAACCCACCCACATTTTATTCTGTTCCAGCTTGAGTAAAACACAGGGAGAAGTTCAGTGGAACACTTTGATAAACTTTGCAAAGTTACCCTTAGAAGAAATTCAAAGTTAGTTACAAATCTGGGGAAAATGGGTAGTTGTATCTGAACACGCTGAACAGCCAAGCTGGTTCTCCATCATGTTGCCTGATCCCAGCCTGAATGGGAATCCATGTGCTTTGCAATATCCACAGTTACCTTCCTTTCTGAGCCGCAGAACTGCTTCTGTAACATTTGTAGGTTGGTGTGAGTTGCCTGCGGAAATATCATTTATAAAGCTTTGCATGTTTTTCAGTTGTCTCCTTACAAGCAAAATCATTAACTATGTGCACCACCATATGTATTTGGAACTTGCCTAGGCAGTGAGGTTTTCTTTCTGCAACTCTAGCTACCTCTTTTGAAAACAATAGCTCCCTTATTTTTAAAAACTTAGACTGCTTTGCAATCTGACAATGTGAGGGTGTGCAGTGGCCTTCGAGACTCGGGAAGAGTGAGCCTGCGCCGTCTAGTTCTGACAACACAAGTTTAAGTGTAGCTAGATGATTTGAGATAACGTCCTCATTGTTGTCCCGAAAGAGAACCCTGGGCTTCGGTCCAGCAAGAAGTGATACTGCCCTGAAAATTACTTTTTTTTTTTTTCCTCTTGTTGTTCCGGTAAAGGCCATCAACAACTAGGCAGTAATTTAAATTACCAGAATGACTGGACATGTCTCCTTTCCTAAGCTCATTACAAAAAGTGCATTGCTCAGAATTGCACCACTTTGATTATAATCATCGTCTGATCAATGAGGATCCAGGTGTACATAACCTAACACTGCATCACATTATTTAAATTAGATCCTTTCACTAAGCTGATATCTACTGGTGCTGGCTAGCCTATATATATTGTAGTATGTGTATGTGTGTGTGTATGTACACGCATGCACGTGTGGGTTAGAAACTTGTGACTGTAGTTTCGGTTTTCTGGTCTATTGTAATCCTAGTGATTTTATGTTTGTTTTCATGGCTCTCACTATTTTCACTGAAATCCTTTCAAGTTGAAAGGGAGTAATTCGTTTCGTACACAGGGAGGCCCCTCTTGTGGTATTTATTTGCTCACATATTAATACAGCAGAGAGTCTTTCATGCAATCTCTTCCCTTCGTCCGGGGTCATCCGCACCCTCCTCGGTTTCAGTGGCCAGTGGCGGTGGCTACTCACAAGCAAAGTTAGTCACTTTGGGGTTCTTCAGCCAGGTAACATGCGCGGAAGGGGTAAAGGTGGCCAGGCTAACTTTTATCTCTGCTTAAAATTAAACACAATGCACAACTGTAAGTAATTACCCCCATGGACGGATGCTGAAAGCTTGATTTCTAGTTTGATTAATGAATAATGGAAGATACAAAAAGCTTGGAAGTGAATCAGAGCTGAGGCCCTCTTAGAGCTCTTTCTCCCAAGAACTGTTCGAGCCTATTAGATTCCTTTGCATTTATTTGCTTTAAGTGCCACGTTTCGAGGAATCCATTGCGGAACTTTCTAATAAAGCAGGTATCCAAATAGAACAAACAGGACAAGACAGTAAGGGATGGGGAATTTTAGTCTTTATTTGTTATATTCCTCCCCCTGCCGGGGGAGGGGAAGTGAGGTAGGCAATTCTCTTTAAGGAAACAGCTAAGTCAGAACATTTCCCTCTGAAATGTTATTCTTCCTGGCTTTCTAAAGCTATGCCATTATACTATACTATTACTTAGGGCAAGAAAAAAAAAGTTGAGAAATCCATCTGCAGTACCCCAGAGGTTCGTGTGTGTGCGGACGTGCTTGGCTCCCCTTCCTTGGATGTATTTCTCACTCACCATTAAAATGCACCCTCTTTCACCTGAAAGTATTGCAGGATTCAATACCTGCATCTTTTCCCCCTATCCATTTTAGATAAGATAAAGAATATGGCAGAAAGGCAAAATAAAACAGAACCATGTTTTGATATTTTTTTTGTAGGTTGCAGAGTGCTTAAAAATGCAAAATCGTAGACAACCTTGAACCCTTCGATCCTTGACCATCCATCTCAGCCACCGTCCACATACATATGTGATACATATTTTATTTCACCACCCTGAGCTATTTTTTTTATATCAATGTCAGCCAATTGCAATAGTACACAAAATCTTTTGTGATCATGTGCATGTGAATACCTCACATGTACATAAGTTACAGGATTCTGCCTCTGCTAACCCCAAACAACAAGATGTTCCACATTCCCTTCTGGCAGACTTTCTGAAGCTTTCTGATAATTCAGATCTGTGGAGAGTCTTACAGGAAAGAACAGCTCCCTCAATTTATTTTGTTTATTTAATATGGAGATGAATAATGCAGATTTTGTTTTCATGAATGTCCTTGTGTGGCAGTAAACATTAGACTATTAGCAATCATTACTTAAAAGTTGCAATTTGCACCTTAATAGCACAGGTTATTTACGGGAAAACGTATTCAGCAGGGACAACACTGAACACTGCAGTAGGGTAGAAATGACCTGAGAGATCTCTCCCTCCACCTTGGGAGAGCGATGACTCTGGATTAATGGGTGAGCTCCCAGAAATCTCAACTAGCTGGGAGAGAGGGGACCGGCAGCACAGGGTGCAGTTGACCTTTAATTTGCTGGCAGGTGGGGCAGGGTTCACGAGAACAGGAATCCGGATAGTATCCTGACCCTGACGTTCTCACTTTGCCTACACATCCTTCAGAGAGACAAGTTCATATTTTGAACATTTAAACGTCTCATGCTTTAGATCCCTTTGCTTATCCAAACAGTATGATTTTTAAGATAAGTGGGGGGAAAAAACAAACACATACACACACACATACAATAAAACCTCAGCGGCACAAACTATTTTGGTTGCTCTTGTTATTTAAGGTAGATCCCTGGAAAAGGAAGGACAGGTACCTAGAAACCGCTTTGTTACGCAGTGTTTTGGATTGAAATCGATTGCTTAAGTGGTCCTTTCCCCCTGGCCTCCTGATTTCCTTCTCCCACCCCTCACCTCACCCTGAAAGACCCAGATTGAATGGGACATCTCAAAAGCCCATTTGTTTTAGGCATTTATTGATTTCATTTTTAATCTGCCATATCAGGACATAATACATTAACCCTAATCAGCAGATTGCAAGTGACAGGGAGATCTCAGGGACACTAGGTAAGGGAGAGGGCTCTGGAAAACTTCTGGACAGTATAGTCTCTGAGGCTCGGGGGCTGGACATCGGATGCTACATTTGGGGAGGGTAGAACAGTCCTCAGAAATGTCTACGGCTCTTTTCCTGCCACCTTGTGCTTCTTTTTCTCTCCCGGTCACCTCGTTCCTCATGGCTACACCTGGGGAAGCTTCAGAGCCCACCGAGATTCTCCTTGGCATCTTGACCTGTGTCGCATTCTCCAACAGAGGTCTTAGGTTGTCCTTTCCTCCCTGCTGACTTCCCACTCACTTGAGGCAATATTTCCCCAGCTGGATAATACCTGGATTGGTCTGATTCTTCTCCCAGTGGCTTGGGAATCGGGCTCTCAAGTATCAGGTTTTAAAGGGGACTGAGCCGGGCATTATTTAAGGCCAATGAAATGATGCACTTCTGCTCATCCCTGCAGCTGAGCTTAGGAAAAGCAGCCAAGAAGAATAGCTAGGCCCTGTTCCTGTTTGTGCTGGGTCTGCAATTAGCTGACACGAGGTAAATGTCCAGAGTCAAGCTTCCTGTCTATCACTCTGTTTATGCTATCCTTTTTCTGTAGCAATGCTGTGGTTTGGGAAAACTCGGGCACCACCGTGAAGGCCAGGCTCCCGTCCACCCAGGTCCCCTTTTAAAAAAAAAAATGTGGAATTGCCTAACAAATTCTAGATTAAGACGAGGCATACACACAGTATCATTTTCGTTCGATGCAAAGTCAGTTGGAAATACATTAAACTAACAGTTAGAGGATGTCTTGCATGGCTTCCCTGAAGCAGCGCTTTTTCATTACATATTTAATTACAATCAAATTGAACGACTTTTAGAAAAAAAAATCACAGTGGTATTAAAAGAAGCTTGGCACACAAATAATTTTATTGCTTTGCAAGTTGAGCACACTGCTGTATTTTCATTTCTTCCAGAAAAATTTATTTTTATTTTCTAATGTTATGATAAATGCAGAATGTCTTTGACTACAGTTGGTAATCAGAGCAAGCTCAGATTCTACCTTCATGAATTCAGCTCACCCTAGAAGAGGGTTTTATAACCACTTCTCAGTAATTTGTAGTGATTTGTATTTTGTTTTAAAAAAAAAAAATGTTTAAGTTTCACAAGTTCCATTTAAAGTTAGAAATTCTCATGTTCCTTTGAGTAAACTCTGGCAAACTGTTCTTCAGATCTGAAGGGGCCTCATCATTCTATCCACGTAAGAAATCACCTCCTTGAGAGAGCTGGCTTGATTACCTGGATATTGCAGGAAGAAAAACAGCACGTATTTACACACTTCTATCAGATGACACCTTTTATTAGATTTATCATTTCTTTTTTTTTTTTTTCTTACGTCTGACTTTTTAGTTACTTGTTTTAGAAACTTTGTTTTCAGGGGGAGGTTATAGATAATGTGTTTCAAAATGGCTCTCAAGGCACACCAAGAGGTTTTTAAAAGAAATGGTAATAAAAATTAGAGACTTCAGAACCCCGCTGTCCCCTGCTGGACTCTGTCTGCAAACTGCTGGAGAGGCCCTTCTGCGGACTCCCTGTCCCCTTTACCTCCTACGTGAGGAGCGAGTGTCTGGAGCATGTGCCTGTCTGTTCAGTTGGTTCATTTTTGTTCTAGAAATGATCATGAGGGCATCGGACTCAGGTCTGTTCTGAGGACATTATGTACATACACAGGCACGCAGAAAAGAATACAAGATGCAAGTGGGAATTGCTGATATATTTGTTTCCAAAACAAACTCCACGGATGAAATGATTAAATAATTCGGAGGTATTTGAAAGTCATTAAAATGGCCATTTGGAATCTCCAATTGTTGCCTCTCTCAATCTTTTGCCTTATCTCCATAGGAAAAGATGTCCCCTGGGCATCCTCGAATATCCTGGGAGGCCAAAGTAATGCCTAAAATTATTTGAAATTTTAGAAATTAAAATTCAAAAGGCATAGCCAGATAATCCTATTATTAGTACATCAGTATTATTTAGCTATGCCTAACAACAGGGAAACGTACAATGCAAAAGTTTTAGAGATAATGAGCTTAGAGAAATTACAGAGGAAAAAAAAAATACCTGGATCATTTCTGAAAGCATGTGTCTTGAATTTTGCTCACCTGAATGAGAATTCCCTCACCACCTGTCTTACTTCAAAAACAAAACAAAACAAAAAAAAAAATTAAATACTTATGTTCCTAGTCCCCCAACCTGAAATTGGATCTAATAAGCTCTCTCTGGATCCCCAAAAGATGATAATGTATAACTCTTAAAAATTAGTTTTAGATAACCAAAATGGACATGCGAACCCAAAGGAAACCTCCGAGAAGCTGACAGAGCTAGCTCAGGGTCCAAGATTGAAAACTTTGTTTCAGCAGGATAAGAAGAAAATAAGATTGCATTTTAACTACACATTTCCTCTTGGCAAATGAGGAGCGCTGAAGCAGGGAAGATTTTTAAGGAGCTTTTTAGCTCTTCTGCATCTCTCTCCAAAGACTAATTTAATTGAAAAGCTATAGTGTCCATTTATGCTAAAGGGAAGGTCTCGTGTTTGCACAAAGCTGCTAGACTCTAAGGTGGGTTAAAAAAGAGAGTGGGTTGGGGGGGAGAGAGAAAGCATTCTGCAGTTTCTGCTAGCAAAAAATCAAGATCGCTGAGCTTAATTAGTTGAGTGCTTTCAGAACTGAACGAATTCTCTGAACTCACCCCTGAGCTTTCTTCTTAAAGCCACATCTAAGCCATTTCTATGGAAATTATATAGTTTAGATATTAAGGTGGGCAGAACACAGTTATTGTTTTTAATGAAAATAGTTTCGAAGGGCAACATGAGATAAAAAGAGTTGGCAGCAGCCATTCTGCCTGTAATGAATTTGCAAAAAAAAAAACTTTCATGTTGCTTGACTGGATCATGAAAAATCTGTGAAATCCGGGAATATGGGATAGACAAAAATAAGACAGGGGTCAAGGTTGTCTATAGGGTAAAAACCACTTGTGTAAGTGAGAACAACAGCATATAAATATTTCTATATAAAGTAAGCGTGAGACTTATTTTAAATCACTTCAATTTATCAGATCCTTGGAATTTTCTGTGTATTTAGGAGCCTTTCTCTTACACCCCAGGGAGATATGAATGTAGCTGCTGGGCTAGATGATGCTGCAGAACTAAATCTATTCCATGCGTTCGGTACCATTTGGTAGAGAAGAAATGCCAAAATGAAAAGCTGTAAGTGAGCTTTATATCAGAATTGCCTTCAGCTATTTTCCTTTATTAGAAAGTTGGGTACATTGCTTTGCGTGTCTTCTTGTTTTCCCCCTTGGGATTAGCTTTTAGATTGTGGCTGGAGCGGTGGAATGAGAAGAAGTGACTGGGGTTCTGGTTGCAGCTTTGCACCATCCCAGTAGGTAGCCCCGAGCAAGCTCTGAAGACGGGCCTCACGGGAGAGGAATGAGGAGCGCACATCTTGGAGTCAGGCTTGTCCAAGTTCAGGTCTCTAGGTTACTTCTCCTGGTTGACCAAATCAGCTTGGTCCACCCACTCCAATCCCTGCCTCTACTTTCTAATCTATAAAATGGAGCCAGTTATAGTTCTTCTTATGTCTCAGGTTTGTTGAAAGGGTTGTATGAGACTGGGCCTGAGAAAGTACTCAGAACCTGGTAGCTCCCATGTGGATATGCGGGAAAGTGTGTTTTTACTCTAAATAGCCAGACCTTGGAAAATTTATACCAGAAGGGAAATGAGCTACGCACCAATTATCATGGACCCAGGAGTCCAAGGAATGGAAAGAAATCAGGCAGGGGTGCATTTGGATTTTTAAAACTAGAAATACAATGGCCAAGTGATGTTGTAGCCCCTTGTCCTGAGGCAGGCTTATGCTGGGCTGTTTGGACCCCTGAAGCAGCTCAGAAACCTTTTTTCAGAAACAGGAATTACAATGCTAGCTACACCATCTATGACAGCAGCCATGATACCTGCTGTGACGTGAGCACTCATGATATACCAGGCACTGTACCAAATGCTTTGTACATTGACCTATATTCAATTAAATAGCAATTACTTCTTGAGTTCCTACTATGTGCCAGGTCCTGCTCTATTAGCTGGGGCCCCCGGGGGGTGGATTGTATGGCTCTGATTTTTGGTGGACCTTGCCTTCCAGTTAAGGGAAGCCAAAGTACATACACGTAATTGTGTAAAGGAAAAGATAATTTTCATATAGAAAAATACTTTATGAGGACAATCATTTCATAACAACAAAATTATGAAAGCAGGTATTGGGACAGCCTAAGTGTGGATGGTCAGGGGAGGTCTCTCAGTGTTGGGGATGCCTGAGCTGAGTCTCATTCCTTATAGCATCCTATGCATACAAGCAGATGCAATCCCTGTTTTAGTGACAGGGATGTAGATAACCCGCAGGATAACTCATTCAATCAAGTTGGGTTTGAAACTCAGCTCTCCCTCTCCTCAAGGCCCAAGTTGCTCTTTTCTTGTGATTGTTTATCTGGCGTGGCCACGGCGATTTGCCAAGTAGGACCCTCTCGCCTTGTGTCTATTGTGATGTCTGCACTTGTGCCAGGATGTGGACCTACAGGTCAACTACTGTCATATATGCAAAAGGTTCATATATGGAATCATGTATTTGTGCATTCATGCCTTCATTCAGCAAACATCGATTGCACACCTACTATGCACCAGGCATCATCTTCAATGCTGAGGATATAGCAGTAGGAAAAAAAAAAAAAGAAAGAAAGATTTTCCTGCCCTCGACACAGTTAATATTCTTGTGAGGGAGACCAAAAATGCTAATGCACAAAAAAATTACACAATGATTTAATATATTTATTGAATGGTGGTAATTGCATTTCATAAAAGTAAACCAGAATTATTTGGCTTCCTAGAGAAGGAGCTGGGAGGATTTCCCCTTTAAATAGAGTAGTCAAGAGTGGAATTTCTCAAGTGGTGATTCCGTCAGGACTGAAAAAGTGAGAGTCCAGCCAACCACTGAGCTGGTAGAAGCATCCTGGGCAGAAGGAGCAACAGATACCAAGGTCCTGAGATCAGAACAGACTTGCTTGTCTGAGGAATGTCAAGGCCAGTGGAGCTGGCTGGGTGAAGATGGAGGAGAGTCCTGAGCAATGAGACAGGGGCAGAGTGCTGTTGGCCTTCTCCATTCCATTCTGGGTTGACGGGATTCCACTGTGGTTCCAGCAGGAGAGTGATCTGGCGGGGCTATTAGTGGAATATTTTTGCCTGCGTTCCAAGGTGCAGTGGACCTGGATCTGGGCATCCACCTGTTGTCCGACCAGCCCCCCAGGAACGGTGAATCAGATGCTTGGGATGGCTGTGGTGGAATCTTCAGATAAAAACACACTCCTGGCCTTCACAGAGAGACTGCTGCTGCTGGGGTGGGTGACTTTGATGAGGCCGGGAAAGGCAAGCCCAAGTGCTAGTCTAACCTGGGACCCAGCTCAGCTCCTCCCACTCCCCCAGCCAGCTGTGTGCTTGGAGGTGGGGTCCAGAACTGTTGCACCTTGGTCTCCTCATCTGTCATGCAGGGATAAGGGTATTGTTCACCTCACATTCCTTTTGTGACAATTGGACAATGGGATGTGGATAAAGCCTGTGGTATGGCCTGGCATTCAAAAAGGGTCAGCTTTGTAAACAAATGTCTTTGTTCTTCCAATCTTCCACTGTGTGTGTGTTGGGGGTGGGGGGCGATTCTTGCAGGAACTGGTAGAAATCTAGGTACCTGGCTGGGTTAGTCCTTGGTACCTGTGAGGCACCAAATAAAAATATCAAATATCAGGGTCTCTTTCACACATCTTAAATTTTTGACAGACCTCCATACCAGTCATGATCATCGGTGTACTTTGAATTTGTATCAGTTTAGAAAACACTAAGGACATTACTGATGTTAGTAATGAACTTGTGTTTTGTTCACCCTGACACCCACCCCAGCCTTCGGTAGGAGAGCAGGGGTGCCTCTTCACATGGGAAGCATTGCTTATTCACCTCACAGAAGTGCTTGCTGATCACGTGCATTTTAGACATAGACCCAGTTATGCCCAGATGGAGCCTGGGTCATAGCTGTTGTAGGTGAGGGACGGAGGGTCATGGCGTCTGACCGCTGAGGGTCAGCCTCTCCCCTCCTGTTCTTCAGGTGTCTCTGGCCCAGCCTGCAGGTTCTCCCAGCCTCCCAGGACCTGGCATCTCTGCCTGCTGCCCCACCTGGGGGTCTGTGCTTGTTCCCCAAGCCTAGGCA